CTCTCTCTCTCTCTATATATATATATATATATATATATTATTTATATAAAAATAAAAATAAAAAAGAAGAAAGAAAATTATGTGAGTGGTAACTCTGGTAAGTGAATATAATGATAATCTTTAATAAAAATTTGTGTAAAAGTGAAAGAAACAATTTCTAAAATAATAAACAAATACAGAAAAAAAAAACTATCTCAATAAAGTAGAAACGAAAACGATTAAAGATAATGATATCAGTTTATATATTATTATAGATTAAAGAATATGTTTTTTTAGATCAAAAGTAGTCTTCCTTATTGCTATTTTAAAAAGATATTTTTCATCATAAAGATTATTTTACTTAAATATGAACAGTAAGAAATAAAAGATGACTCAAAAAGTCAAAAGTAATTAACAAAATAGAAGACGCAAACAATAAGTGATGATGTGGTGCAATTGAAACGAAATCTATTTGTTTAATCTCAATATCGTTTTCATAATTAATCATATAGCCATGTGTTGCATGAAGCAAGCCAAGAATTATTTGTGTACAGGTAGGGACGTTTGGTCATTCCTACATCGGCTACCGAATGGAAGAATCAGGTAGCCGAACGCTAATCGGCCACCTGAATCAGCCCATCATCACTTAACACTTAATCTAGGCTTAGGAGTGTACAGGTAGAGACGTTCGGTCATCCCTACATCGGCCACCGAATGGAAGAACCAGGTAGCCGAACGCTAATCGGCCACCTGAATCAGCCCATCATCACTTAACACTTAATCTAGGCTTAGGGGATAATTACTTGATTAAACCCTAAACCCTAAACTCTAATACAGTAAATACGCCATAGGGCCCATAAGGCTCAAGGCCCATAAATGTCAGTATAAATAGCTCAGGTCAAAAGGTAACGTCACGGTTCATTAATTACTCTCGATATTTGTGTTTGTCCTGATTTGAACGTTGGAGTGCCTTTTGCAGGTACCAACCCCTCACTCACATCGGATCGGAGCAGTTGTTCGGCCCTCAATTTACGAGAAGAATCAGGTAGCCGAACGCCAATCGGCCACCTGATTCTTCCATTCGGTGGCCGATATAGGAATGACCAAACGTCCCTACCTGTACAATTTGCATAGATTTTAAAATGAGGCTACCAGCCTACAGATCGTGTGAATAAATTTTGAGATTTTAAGCAAATTTAATATTTGAGTTTTAATATGATATAACTAAACAAGAGTTTATAAAAAAGACAAATGTTTTATATAATAGATGTTATTTGGATAATGACCGACACTCATAATTGTCTGTATTACTATGTCAACCTATGATAATGACACCTTTAAAAAATTTGATAAGTACTTAAACTATATTATATATTTAACTTAAAATAAAAATTAGGAATACAAAAACATAACTTTGAATTATAAAAGGATAAAAATAAAAAGAAAATATTCTACAAAAAAGACAAAACTAAAATTTATTCATTTGATAGGGGTAAAACTAATTATTCTAAATATTAAAGAATAAAAAACAAATAAAAATTATTGGACAAAACTAAAAAAAAAAAAAGTTTATTTTATGATGACCAAAAATGTGTTTAAGTCTTGTAATTTTAAAAATTTGTCATTATTGAGATTCTTATATTAAAAGGAAAAAGTGGATTTTTATTCTAAATTTTCCAAATATATTGTTAATAAAAGAAAATATTTATTTTATTAGAACAAAAAGAATAAATTTTATTGTTAGTAAATATTTATTAATATAAATTCTCATTACTATAATATTTATCAATATAATAATATATGTGTACGTATATTTTCTACTTGTGAAATTTAAATTCCATGTTCATTTCTATGCTAACCATAAAGAGAAAAAAGAAAATCGCATACAACTATAGAAGGGTAAAAAAACCTTAAAATGGAAAGTGAATGAAAAGAATACGCACATGCTTTTATATGTATGACCCACGCATGTTACTACTACTAGCAAAATACATTTCTTAACGTTCTTCAGCACCTACTCCGTACATGTAATTGGCCTTATATTTTGCCAACTACTTGTCTTATTATTGCTAAGAAGGCAAGAGCATGAACTAAATTCATCCACTCATTCACTCCTCTCTTGCTCAACTAGAAGATCCAGTGGCTAAAGGTACTAGAGACTATGAAGTTGATTACACTTCGATTTTCTTGTCTTTCATTAGTAGGTTCTGTTAAAACCTCTCTTGGATTTCAAAATTTTTAATCTTTGTTATGTTTTAATTACTTTCTTGATTCTGGGGTGTCTTGAATTATCATTGTTCAGGTTTGTATCACTGAGCTTGTGATTTGTGCTGGGTTAATTGCTCCAAAGTTTGATGCTTTTCTTCGACTTGAAAAATGGGTGTTTTCTGTTTTTGATAAAATTACTAAGCTGATATTAAATTTTGATTAAAAAAAAAAAAAAGTTGAAAGCTGAAGATGAGGAGTGGAAATCTTGCACCTAAGGAAGAGGAGCAAAAATCAAGAAGGAACAAGAGAGTTGTTGATGAGAATGCCCCTTTGATACCCAAGTTTCAGGAGAGTGATGGTGCAGGATTTGATGAGTTTAATGGGGCTTCATTTTCTGGGGCTGTTTTCAACTTGTCCACCACAATTATTGGTGCTGGGATCATGGGGTTGCCAGCATGTGTGAAGAAGTTGGGGATGGTGCCTGGTCTTCTTGCTATCATCTTAGCAGCTTTCATGACAGAGAAGTCAATTGAGTTCATGATTAGGATTTCCAGAGCAGGGAATCTTTCTTCTTATGGGACTCTCATGGGGGATGCTTTTGGGAAATATGGGAAAGCTTTGGTGCAGATATGTATTGTAGTCAATAACATTGGTGTGTTGATTATTTACATGATTATTATTGGTAAGGACTGTGTTCTTAAGCCCAATGCTTCAAATTTCAAAGTTTATTTGAGAATATGCCTGTATGTCTTTAGTTTGATAAAAGATAATTTAGTTTTTAGGAAGGTTGTTATGTTTTGAATTTTTAGGATATTGTTTAAATAAAGAGATGGATGATATTCTTATCATTTTGGTTTAGGATATTCTCAGTTTGATTTTAAGATTAAGATAATGTTAGTATTTGAATTTTTGTATTACAATTCTATTATATTATATATTATATAGAGAGAGCTAGATCACGAATAAAAATATATCAAGCTCAGTTGACAAAAATATATTTCTATAAATACAAATACAAAACAACCTATTAGGAGTTTCATTGTTGTCATTGGTTTAGGTTGTCCTAGATTGATTACTCATCAATGTTGTCTAATTCAGCATTGTGTTGTTGATGTTGAAGGTGATGTAATTTCTGGAACAACTTCAAGTGGAACTCACCATTCTGGTGTTCTTGAAGGATGGTTTGGAGTCCACTGGTGGACTGGGCGAATGTTTGTTCTTTTGTTTTCAACTCTTGTTGTCTTTGCACCTTTGGTCAGCTTTAAGCGAATTGGTGAGTATTTTTTATGTCATTAATATAAGTGAAAAAAGAAATGACTGGTCATTTCATATTAGCTAAGGACATACTTGGATAAACTTCTCCAAAAATACTTAGAGTTAATCACCTATACAGTGTCAGTGTAAAGTTTTTTTACACTGGCAACCAATTATATTTTTTAATTGTGCCATGTCACTGTAAATACAATTACTTTTAACAGTGACATGACACAATTAAAGGATATAATTGGTTGCTAGTATAAAAATTTTTTATACTAGTAGTGTATAGGTGATTAACTCAAATACTTATAAGAGAAAAATTAAAAAATAAAAATAAAAAATAATTTTCTTAATAAGCTACAACTAGCTTATATATGAATTAAAAATAAAATTTTGGAGAAGCTAATAAAGAAGAACTTCTACAAATTAACTTATGTTTATGGAGAAACTTATTTCATTTTTCTTTCCTAGAAATACTTTTGGAGAAATTTACCCTATGTCACTTGTTAATTGAATGCTACTAGCTCTTCTTTTTTTTTTTTTTGTGAATAAATGCTAGTAGGTTTAATTTCCATTTAGTCATGACATATATATGTTGGCTCATTTGTTATACAAATCCATAAAATTTCATATGCCTTCGCTGTGGTTGTTGCAGATTCATTGAAATTCACATCTGCATTATCAGTTGGACTAGCAGTTGTTTTTCTTGTGATTGCAGTGGGAATATCAATCTTCAAGATTATAATTGGAGGCATTGAGAAGCCCAGACTCTTCCCGATCGTTACAGATGTAACATCATTTTTTGAACTGTTCACTGTAGTTCCTGTGCTTGTGACTGCCTATATCAGCCACTCCAATGGTATGACATTTTTTTAGACCTTTATGTAGATTCCATTTCATAAGAATTTATTGTTGTTGTGTAGATACCACTTTCCTTGTTTTAGTTTTTATGCAGATCACACTTATGTAACTTTAAGTTAGTTATTAATGTACATGAAAGATGTTGTGAGGTCAATCTTATAATATATGTGTATATATAGACATGTTTGGATAAACTTCATTATAAGTACTTTTAAAAGAAAAAATAAAAAGATAAAATTAGTTTATACATAAACTAATTTGTGAAAGAGTTAATCACCTATACACTGCCAGTGTAGAGTTTTTTTACACTGACAACCAATTAGATCTTTTAATTGTGTCATGTCACTGTTAAAAGTAAATGTGTTTATAGTGACATGGCACAATTAAAAGATCTAATTGGTTGCCAGTGTAAAAAAACTTTACACGGGCAGTGTATAGGTGATTAATTCTTTGTGAAATGTGAAAGTTCCATTGTATTAATTTCTTTAAAAGCTTATTTTTAATTTACAGAGAAAAAATTCATTTTATTTTTCCTTCTTATTTTCTTCTTTTAGAAGTACTATAGAAATGTTTATCTAAACAAACCTTATATGTAGAGAGAGAACGAGAGGATGGATCAAGTTACTCAAAAATAACTTTAAAAGAATTACGCTTCATCTTCACCCTTCATTTTTTTAATCTAATAGTTATCACAAGTAACTCATCTTTGAGTTACTGTCAGTGTAACGTGATTTTTCCTCAGCTCTCACTCTCTCTCTATATATATATACACACACCAATGAAGGTTAATGTTAAGAAAAACCAGAACAGAGAAGTTGAAACAGAAAAAACTGGAACAGAGAAGTTGAGTTTCTGGTTTTTTGTTGTTTCAATGAAAGGAAGAAAAGTGGTTACACAATTTCATTATTCATTTCCACACTCTCCGTAGAGTTGCATTACATCAAATATATGACAAGAGAGATTTCTGATATGCATATCATATGCTACAGTAAATCTCCACAAAATAAAGATAAACACTCCTTTTTACCTAAACATTTGTCCAAGCAACAAACAAATCTCTTGAAATATGGATTTCCACTTAATTATACCTAACCACACCAAATGCAACTAAGATACAAACAGACATAAATATTTAATATTTTCTTAAAGTATCTAGAAAAATCTTAACTTCTAACAGTTAACATGAATTGTACCATGCAAATCAAGTTATGATAAGCTAAAAATTTATATTCATGTCATTTTTGTTTGACACTAGCTGTACACCATGAGCATGATCAATGCAAGTATACCTTTTGCTTACTATGCTTGGTTGCTTGAAGTGACAGAATTTTCAAACTGATTCCCAAGTACTATTAAACATGACAACTGTTGTAAAAGTTTCATTTACAAATGAGCATGACATGATTGCACTTAGCTTTCTGGATCTACCTGTTTGCTTCATTTACATATAGTCTGATGGTTGCATTGCATGCACTCTTTATTTGCAGTTCACAACATAGACAATGAACTTGAGGACTCTTCACAAATGCATGGCGTTGTTCGTACTTCCCTCGTTCTATGTGCTTCAGTGTACTTACTGACAAGCTTCTTTGGCTTCCTCCTATTCGGTGAAGGGACTCTTGATGATGTTCTTGCCAACTTTGACACTGATCTTGGAATTCCTTTTGGTTCTGTGCTCAATGATGCTGTTAGATTTAGCTATGCAGCACATCTTTTGTTTGTGTTTCCAGTTGTCTTCTATGCAGTGCGTGTCAACCTAGATGGTCTCATATTTTCATCATCTAGGCCTTTGGCTCAAGATAACATCAGATTTGCAACAATTACTGCCTCACTTATTGTTGCTATCTTTCTAGGAGCAAATTTCATACCCAGCATTTGGGACATTTTCCAGTTTACTGGAGCAACAGCAGCTGCTTGTGTAGGATTCATATTTCCAGCTGCCATCGCCATTCGGTGAGTTTGGTTGCTAAATTCTTTTTGCTGAGCAATGAATTTGGTTTTCCTATATGGTTTTTTTGTTGTTTTCTGATGGAGATTTCATATCAACTACTAATATGATCATGATTCATGATAGTGTATATAAGTGAGGAGCAACCCCCATCTTATAAGTCGATTTTATAAGGTTGAGTTAAGTCTAAATTCACTATCTTATAATAGCATTAAAGCCTATCTTAGTGATTATTAATTGTTGTTGGGCTTATCAAGTCACCTGCAATCGAGTCGCTATCAGATTACTCATAGATGTTTAGTCCTACAAAGTCCTAAATCCACTTTCTTAAGATTTTCAAATAAGTATCCGCCTAGTAGAGTAAAATGGAAAGATGAAATAGAAATACATTTTTGATCGATTTACTTTATTGTAGGATTTCGTTCTTTAACTTACATGTAAAGGAAATAACTATCTAGGAAAGATGGCATTAACCTACTTTATATGGTGTACAATAACAGCTTCTGAATTCTCAGAATCCTTGACATATTGAAAACTGCGGAAAGTGGTGGAAGTTGCATTCCGTCACGGTATTCACTCTTCTACAAACTTACCACTAGTCTATACAAAGAAATTACGGGGAAATTTTAAGGCTTTACTAAATACTAGAGAAGAGGAAGTAATGATTAGAGGATTGAGATCATTATCATTCAATTGGGTGGCGACTAGCGATTCTAAAATGACTATTTCAGTTATTGATGAGAAGATCAACAATTGATATTTCAACACTTTTATAATCTGTTATGCATGTCCATGTATATTGATCATTAATTTTTTTATTAATGAGTAATGACTTAGATTATTTACTTTATTCTCTAAAGTGAGTTTGAGTATCTTCAAATGTTTTCTTGAGTTGCTTATTTGTTGTGCCTACCATAAACTTTCTCATGCAAGAAAGTTGTGGTTTTCTGCTAATTAATTAACAATTATGATTGAGCATTTTTTATTTAATTACAGGGATCGACACAACATAGCAACTAAAACCGATAAGGTTCTATCTGTCTTTATGATAGTCTTGGCAGTCTTGTCAAATGCTGTGGCTGTATACAGTGATGCTTATGCATTGATTAAGAAGAACAAAACTTATTCATGAGTGATTTCTTAGAAATTTTCTTTGAAGGCCGCATTACAGGTATATTCATACTTTCAGATGGGTGGATTATGGAATAAACAAAGAAACCTTCTATAGTTCTATATAACATGTTCAAAATCAAGTGAGAACGGTCAACCTAATACTGAAAGAGTTGGATAGTATGTATAGAGTCTTGAGTATGAATCATGTTTATGTGATTCTGTCATTGTAATTTTTATGGATAAAAAAAAAGCTTTGTCCAGTGTGATATTTAGTATTGTAATTGTAGAGGTTATTGTTGATGTGTGTCTATTTTGTAGGCTTCATCTCCCCAAACATAATAACCATTCATATAGGTACCTTACATATGTAAGTTTCCATTTGTCTAAAAATACAGTAACATAAGTAAAATTCTTTTACCAATTTTTTATTCCACTGGTTTTATGAGTTGTCTTACTTCTTCAGTTTATAGGCCAGTGAATTTTGTGGGAAATGAATTCTAACAAAGACAAAATGACAATTTGATAATGAACACAATACAAAATCACTTCACGTACGTGCCATGTAAGACTTGAGTATTACCGTAATTACATATAGGCCAGTGAATTTTGTGGGAAATGAAATTATTTTAAATCTTATTTAATTGAAAAGTAAAATCGACCTTTAAAAACTTTACGTTGTTAAAAAGAATAAAGAATTTAATTACAGTGCACTTATAGTATAAAATTTGTGTATGATATCATCTAATCATACATTGTCATGTATGATAATTTTGTTAATTTTTGTAATAATTACATTAAAGAAGTCATGCATTGGATGATTTTTTTATTGTTTAATAATATATAAATGTTTATATTCAGAGTTCATAAAAATTAAACTCTATTTTTTTTTATTAAAGGTGATGATGTCTTCATTTTTTTAAATTTTCATTATTCCTACACTTTTGTTGTAAATGACCTCATTGATTTTAGTTCTCAGAAGAAACTATCTAAATATCACAAACAATTAAGACAGTTGTGATGATATGAAAATAGAAAGAAAATTAATATAACTTTGGAAAAGAAGAAATTCAAAGAGAAGCTAACAAATTAACTATATTGATGATGCGTCAATGGAAGGAAATTTGGTATTGTTGGCATGTCAATCAATGGCGTGTTTTGCCAGGCTTTATATATTACAATTAAGATTAAAAAAAATAAAAATAAAAAAAAAGATGCATTTTATGTTTAAAGTATTAAATTTTTAAATAAAAAAAAAAAAACATATTAGCATCTTGTAGTTTGGGTTATTCGTGCAATACATGAAGATTTTAAAGTGAAAACTTTTTTGTTTAATTTTTTCATTAAAAAATGGTCGAATTTGTCACGTGATTAATGATTTTCTAAAATTGTCCATGTGACTAACTCATGTCTCTTTCCCATCAACTACCCCTTTCTTTCCCATGTGGGCTTTTTGGCCATAATAAATAAAAAAAATAAGAATTACTGAAATAAATTAATTAAAAAATTATTTACCAAAATAAATTATTTTGACAACATGAGATACAAGAAACGTCAATGAAAATGACAAGTTTTAAAGGCGTCACCGGTTGTGACGCCTTGAATGTAAACATGCATGCTTACATGGCAAACGGTACTGAAAAAAATAAAAGGAAAGCGTCACGATGAATGACGACTTTGAAGATTTGAAAAAAAATTACACAAAATGTTAAGTTATGTGACGTTTCCCATGTAACTAGAAAACATCCGCCTAGGTGACGCGTTCCAATTTATTTATTGCCCAATTTTCAGCTTTTCTCTTCCTTGTCACAATGAACGAACCTCCATTATTAAATTGTCAAAAAAAGCTACTTCATTGACATTAATAATGGAGTAGCTTTTTGACAATTTAATAATGGAGGTTCGTTCATTGTGACAGGAAAGAGGAGAGCTGAAAATTGGGTAATAAATAAATTGGAACATGTCACCTAGACGGATGTTTTCTAGCTACATGGGAAACGTCACCTGGCTTAACGTTTTGTGTAAATTTTTTTCAAATCTTCAAAGTCGTCACTCATCGTGATGCTTTCCTTTTATTTTCTTCAGTACCGGTTGTCATGTAAGCATGCATGTTTATATACAAGGCGTCACAACCGGTGACGCCTTTAAAACTCGTCACTTCCATTAACGTTTCTTGTATCTTACATGGCCAAAATAATTTATTTTAGTAAATAGTTTTTTAATTAACTTATTTCAGTAATTTTTTTATTATTTATTTATTTATTATGGCCAAAAAGCCTCTATTATCGAGGTTTTTCTTTTTTAATTTTATGTATCATTGCATCATTAAAAAAATTAGATCTCTTACATAATAATTTTAACTGTCAAACTCTTTCTTATGATTAACATATGATTGGAATAGACATACAATATTTTTATAATCACATTGAATTAACTGTGAATACATAAACGCCCATGTATTCATCCTTTCCATTTTGGTTTGCCATGACACTAGAGAATAATCTCCTATAAACTTACCAAAAGAAAAAAGTATACCTATTCACATTTAGTTAATTTAATTAATTATATTAAAATTTTGAATAATGTGTATTGTCTTTCAAAAGTACCCTTAATTATGTTTGAAATTAATTATCTCTCCACCTAATTGCTTCCCATCTAATTATTGTTTGGAGATAGTATATTTAATTAAGGGTATTTTAGAATAACTATAATTAATGCATTAGAAATTAGAAAAAGGTCTTATAAAAAGGGAGAAGTAAATTTGTGAAAAGATTTTTATAAATAGAGATGGAGGTAGTATAAAGAGAAAGAAAAAAAGAAATATAAATTGAGCAAAATATTATAGGATAAGTGGTAACAACTTTAGAACATGGCAGAGTCATCATCTGAGTTAAAAATATGCATGATATTTGACATAAAAAGGATTTTGTCTACAACTACACAGAATGTTACAAAACTTTCATCCCAGCCTATGTAGTATGTACAGCCTCTATCCTGTAGCAATCCCTACTTCATCTTTGGACATAATATATACAGCAAATGAATTATACAATCATGGGTTACCAATATTGGCCACGAAAGGGACTAGCTTTTTCTGGTCCTTTCTCTTACCTAATGCACTTCTATCCAATACTCGGCTAAGAATCAAACGAGTATTCTGCAGAGCAACTTCCCTTGGTGACATCCCAGACTCAGTTGTTTGTGCAGGTGTAGAAACTGACCCTAGTCCTGATCCAAAACCATACTGCAGAGGGCCACTGCGGGCCTTGAATGAGGTCTGTGGAGCAAGCAACTTTTCTTCAATAACACCAATTCCATTCTCAAATGAACTTGGTTCATATGGATGAGAACCAGTCAATGAACTGCAACTTTGTAGAAGGGCTTCTAACACGCTTAGTGCCTCCCAGCACAAAGTGCTTTCCACCAATTGGGATACGATTGCGTATATATGTGGACTCTGGGTGGCATCCATAGGTGTGTGCTGGAGGAGAGCCTTGAGAACGAGTAGAATGACGCGTTGATACTCGACTGGTCCTTTTTCTAGTAGCCTTAACAAGTGTCCGAAGGCCAAGGTTGAATGTTTTGGAAACCATTGGACGCATAAAAGTGGTGAAACACAAGCCAGAAAATTATCAATGCTCTTAATCTCACCTCGAGAATAAATCATAAATACAGTAGATAATTCATCCAAAGATTTTGCTCGGCACCACATTGCAATATTGGCAGCAACGGAGCAAGCCTTTTGATATTGATGTTGGAATGGTGAAGCAGGACCTATCACAAGGTCTTTGCTAAGTTGAAGACAGAGCCAAGGGAGCAATCCTATGATGTGCATCAGGAGTCTTGTCTCAGCATCACCAAATATAGAATCACATGAATGCACTGTTATCCGAGAGAGAACATCAATAGAGACACTGTGACTAACACTTGACATGAGTCCTTTAAGAACAAGAGGCTGCACCCCTTCAAATGTAGGCAAATTCCCCTCTTGTAGAGGTTCATAGCCACTTTTAGATTCTGATCGTTGGAATTCTCCTAAATCGCTAGTATCAAGTTCATCTCTGGGCATACTTGAAAGGAGTACATTTTCTGTTGTACGATCACGGAAAGATAAGCGGTCAATCACATGAGAGAAGAGCTCTAGAACCTGGCGGTAGACATGGACAAAATCTGTGTGCATCATAGCAACACACCCCCAAAATAGCTGAGGGTAGAGTATCACCTTCTCTGGCTCCATATTCTCCACCATAACTTGCAATGTCATCAAAATTTCCATAACAAATCCCAAAACTTGAGGTACTGGATTTCCCAGACATCTATGGAGACACCGAAGAAGGGATACACAAGCATCACTTGTAACACTTGGTCGAAGTGCTCGGTATATCTGATGTGAACGACATGCAAGGTGTCTTGATGTACACTCCATAGCCCACCTAAGTGCTTCTTCTCCCCAAGTCTCCCGAAGGTCTCCTTGGAAGAAGATAGCATCCACCATGCTCTGAACTAGGGCAGAAAGAAGTGCTGCACTTGGCAGCTCAGTTCTGACAACTGTTGGATCTTCATTCTCCCACATCATGCTTCCTCGTTTTGATTGTACATATTTAATTAAGCTCACAACCTGCTGTTTGTTCTCCCTATCATTATTTTCCACCTCATACTGCTCCAAGTGGCGGCCTGCAAGGGAATATAGCAGATTAACAAGTAAATGCTGGCAATGCTCAAGTACAATGTCTTCTGAGCTATCCATCGAAACAAAGATAACATGGAAGAGTAGAGGCAAGTATTGGCGGAAATCTTCATCATTCTCATATGCAATTTCAGCAAGAAGAATCAGTGCTATATCTGCATGTGTAAGTGAGTGCTGCTGATGACCCTGTAAGGCTGACTGAAGTTCTTTTGCATTCACGGCATGCATAGCACTCCCACCATGCAGTATATCTTCACCTGAATTTGGAGTGTCAACAAGATAATCTCCACTGTCTCGTGAAACATGGCGGCTACGCAAACTCCCTGTTGAGCTTCTAACACCCATCAAGGGTCCTGACATATTAACCAAGGCTGGAAGGAGCTGCCCTGATCGTCCGGCACTTACTGGGACAATATTCAACTCTGGAGGCATCGGACTTAATGGGCCTGATACACTCCGGCCTGTCATACCTGCTGTTCTCCAGCTCAAGCTCCCACTAACATTTCTTAGTGGACCATCAAGAGAACCTCTTACAAGCAATGGGGACATGTGTGGTTGGTTATCCATAACTGATGTCATTTGGGCTACAGCAGGACCTTGCGAAAATTCTAGCACAAAATTTACACTTGCATCACCCTTACTTGCAATTGGCTCAATGCTATCCTCTAGTAGTCGCTGAGACAATTGGAAAACTAGGTGATCTATAGTTCGTTGAGGGCATATTCGTGCTAAGTATA